ACACTTAAAATCAAGATGCTGTTAGAAAAAACAATCAAGCAAGAATCAGATAAAAATGTAAAACTGAAGATGGCTACTGAACTTGAAGCTGTGAAAAATTGCTTTCAGGAACTAAAAATGATCTGCTGAGACTTCTCCCTCCAGATTAATTTCTAGTGGGTAGGGCTACCTCTGTACCCTTCTCTCCATCTGTGTCTCCCCGTGTCTATTAAAAAAAAAAAAAAAAACTAATTTAAGATAAAATATTCTCTGGGCTTTCAAGCTCCTCCTTTATTGTGCTAATTCGTGCCTTTCCCCATCCCTTTTAGGAGAGGCACAACCCCAGGCCCATCCTGAGATGGCTACTGAACTTGAGCTGTGAAATATTGCATGGTTTTTATTCTTTTGCTTTTTAAAATTAAAATATAAAGTTTTTTATTGTCTTTTTTTTCTTCTTTTTTATTTTCTTCTTCTTTCTTCTTCTCTAATTCTTTTCCTTTTTTCTTTATCTTTATTCCCTGGCTACTCAGCCTCCACGTACTGAGTGTCTAGACAGGTCCAAGTGAACAGTATCCATGATTAGGGTCAGAATATTCCTCAATTCCTACTGAATCTGATGCACTAAGAGTGAAAAATGGAACAGAAGAGAGATTGCAGATCACCTCCTCCTGCATGCCTCTGAACACTCAGACTGAACTTCAAGAATTTGGAAGAAATGTACATTCCATCAGATGACCAGAAATCACTGCAGGATCATAAGAAATATGAGAAAGCAAAAAAAAAAAAATCTATCCTCTAAAGGAAAAGAATAACTCCCCTTTATCCTGAGACAGGAAAATGGAACTCATGAAAATGTCAGATAAAGAATTAGACAAAGCTAACAGAGATGGAAGAGAAGAGACAATGAACTTCAAAAGAGGCAGGAGAAAGGAGCCAACGAGTTCCAGGAGGTGGGGAAATTCTTCAAGATCTGAAAGAGGAAATATACACCATATAAAAGAATCAAATGGAACTGTTAGTGATGAAGGCTATAATATCCATCAAACGTCCAAACATCAGAATAATTGGTATTCCAGAAGGCGAAGAGACTCATAAGGGCATTGATAATCTATTCCATGAAATCCTGGAAGAAAACTTTCCAAATCTAGAGAGGCACTCAAAGATCCAGTCCCAAGAAATACAAAGGACCCCAAATAAAATCAACCCAAGATCTTCTCCAACACACATTATAGCCAGATTGACCAAAACCACAGATAAAGACAAGATACTAAGATTGGCAAGAGAAAAACGGCAAGTTACCTACAAAGGACATCCCATCAGGCTAACAGCAGCCCTCTCACTGGAAATAATGTGAGCAAGGAAAGAATGGGAAAATAAATTCAAAGTGTTAAAAGCAATTTCAACCAAGAATACTGTACCCGGCAAGATTATCCTTCATATGGGAAGAAAATACAAGGACATTCTTAGATTAAAAAAACCTTAAAGAATTTACTGACACCAGACCAGCTCTCCAAGAAGTTCTGAAGGGAGTGCTGTACCAAGAAAACTAAATACAGACACACAGAAATAAGAGTTCAAAAACAACTAAGAAAATGGCCAACTTAATCGTAGGGACAAGTTTAGAGTTGAATATTACATCCCAGAATTTAATTGGGAAGATTGGACCACAATAAAAGATTAAGTACGTGAGACTGAACTGGTGAAATAAAATCTTGACTTTTGACTAAAGAATTCTTGATTTTCTTCAAGGCTTTGTTTTTTGGTTTTAAGAATTTTTGTTTTATCCTGAGCTGCTGATAGGTTCATGTACCTACTGTTTGAATAAAATCCTAACATGTTTCCTGGCTTTAAGCAAAGCTTTCTTAGCATTTCTTTGATTTTGATTAAAGCTAAATTGTTTTTCTTGAAATGAAAAAATATATTAAGAAATACCTACTTAATACTCTAGTAAACTATATAACATCAGCTAGGTGCTACTTTATAATATGTATATTCATTCTACTCAGAGTTTCACAACTAAAGTCAGACATGAATTCACAAATATGTATATGTCAGCTGAACTTGCTATTGGAAATATATTACTCAAAATTATGATAATAAAATTTTTAAATAAATAAAAAGGAAAGTAGTCAGTTTAAGAAATTTTGTGCATCAATAAAATGTGGGGAATAAAAGGAATGTAAAGCAATTGTAGACTCCAGAGACAGTGTGGGAGGAGGGTGGGGAATGGCAGAGGGTAATGGGGGAAAATGTACATCCATCTATCTATCTATCTATCTATCTATCTATCTATCTATCTATCTATCTATCTATCTATATGAAACTAGAAGTGGAAAATTATAACATGTATGATTAAGCCACTATGCAGTATATTCTAAATGGAAAGTCACACATTGTATGCTGTGATGATGCTCAATGATGAATGTGAAATTAATTAATTAAAAAAATTTTTTAAATGTAAAACCTTGCTGGAGGAATAAAAGACCAAATAAATGCTTATACTGTGTTGTTCATATTAAGATATCAATTGTCAGAACCAGTAGGTGGCATGGTGGTTGAGGCACTGGATTCCCACATGGTCTACTGTGGCTCAAGTCCCAGACCTGGCAGGCTTACTTTCTCTCTCTCTGGTCACACTGAATAATAATAATAATAAAAAATAAAATTAAGTAATTCTTTTTTAAAAAAGATTTTTTTTATCAAACTTTATTTTACTTACTTGTTTTAATTTGATCAGAGAGAGAGAAATAAAGTGAGAAAACAAGTTGCCAAGTCCAGGACTCAAATCACAGTTGGCCAAATGGGAGTCCAGCACCCCTAGCCACCATGTCACCTACCAGGCCCATGAATAATTCTTAAAGAAAAATAAAAAAGAGAGATACCAATTCTCCCCAGATCATATAATTTGTGTAAATCCAATTAAAATGCCAATAAGATACCTACCAGTCCCATGAATAATTCTTAAAGAAAAATAAGAGAGATACCAATTCTCCCCAGATCATATAATTTGTGTAAATCCAATTAAAATGCCAATAAGATTTTTACAGAAAAATAAAATTTTATACAATACATACTAAATTTCAATTAAAAAAATTGATTTAATTCCGTATGTTATTACTTTTAAAAATCTGACCAGAGAGAGACAGAGAGAGAGAAAAGGAAAGCAGAAACACAAGCTGCCAGGTACAGGACTTGAACTGTGGTTGGCCATGTGGTAATACGGCACCTTTAACCACCACACCACCTGCCGGCACCCTAAATTTCAATTTAAAGATAAAGTATCCTGAAGTATCCTGGAGCTGACAGGTGGCACAGTGGTTAAGGAGCTGAGTTGCCACATGGCTGATGGTGGTTTGAGTCCCAGACCTAACAGCTTGCTTTTTCACTTTCTTTCTCTCTGATCAAATTTTAAAATAATAATAAGTAAATTAAATAATTCTAGGAAAAAAAATGATTAAGTATCCCAGAGTAGTCATCCACACAAAAACTATTAGAAAAAAATTAACATATCAGAGGCTATAATTAAAGCAGTGGAGGTACCAGTACAGAAATAGTTAATGCTTGTAAAGTATCAGAGGTTATATTTTCTGAGTGCTTCAAAGTAGATTGTTATTATTACTACGATTGTTGCTAGAGGGCACATTTGCTTTCCAGAGAGAGAGAGAGAGACAGAGCAAAAGTGAGAAAATCACTCCCCTGTGGGTACGGCCATGCTGTAATCCCTTTCCATTCTACTCTCAGGATGTTGGGCACACACGCACACACACACACACACACACACACACACACACACACACACACACACACCTATTGTGCTCAAATCATCAGTCTAGACTCGAACCACATGGTCAGCCATGTGGGATTCAGCCACCTTAACTTCCATGCCACCTCCTCCTGGTCCCCAATTGATTGTATTATTAATACAACTACCCATTATATTATCCCCATTTTTTAGATGCTGCCGCTGAGATCTAGAAATGTAAAATAACTTGCCCAAGATTGCATAGGGCCAAGGCAGGGCTCTGAATCCAGTTGAGTCTAGACATACCTCATAGGAAAAATATTAACAGCAATTACCCACAGAGCTCCAACTAATAATCAAGAAGAAAACACAAAATAACCATAAAAATGGACGAAAGATATAACATGCAATTATACTAACAGGCAGATAGTGAACATATACATATATTTAAAAGTTCAAGCTCACAAATACTAAGATGGATAATAACTATTCAAAGGATTACAGAAAATGTTAGCAAATGGGTATTTCATACATTCTAGTAGGAATGTATGCTTACATAGCATGTGGGGCGGGCCATGACATTAAAACACACAATTTATATGCTTTTCAGCAATTCCTTTTCCAGAATCAATCCCAAAGGAACATTAAACATAAACATAGAGAGTCATGTACAGGGGTACTTACTGCAAGTTTTTCTGTAAAACTGAAATTGTGAAAAGAAATTGTCCATCAACAGTGAATAGTTGGAACAGATCATTATATATCAAGTCTATGGGATAGTATGTAAAAAGTATATACAGACTGACATGTTGATACCATATTAGAGAGAGAAAAAAGTCACAGAATACATAGATTTTTTTTAACCCCTGTGTTAAACAAAGGGAAAAAAGAATCTAAAAGACAATGATAAAATGTGAGTAAATGAGAGACTATAGAAGAAAGAATGTTTATAAATATATGTTGAAAAAGCCTTTGTAAACAGCATCCACAGGATAGACACCAAACAGAGTGGATATGCTGGGGAAAGGAGAGGAATATTCTTCAGCCTAGGAATTGAAGGGGACTTTTGCTTTTTACTCAGCAATCTTCTGTGTAATTAAAAATGTTTAATGCTTTTGCAACTTTGAGAAAAGCAAGCGAAAGAGCTTCCTACCTTGTGTGTGTGTTTTTATTAAAGAGCAAGATGTCTAAACTAGTAAAAGGAAAACACTAAAAACCAACCAAAGAGAATAAAAAAACAATAATAAGAAAATTATGTATTAAGAATTGCTGACACCTATAAAATTTCAAAGCAACTGATGCAATACATTTTATTGTTTCCATAATAATAGGCTCTGGACAAAGTGAAGACGATGGAGACAATGACAACACATTTAAACTCCTACCCCAAATTAATGTTACAAATTTCCAGTGATTCAACATATTAAACTGTAAAGTACATAAAGGAAAAAGGACCAAGAAATATAAATAGATTTTTGTAGCACAATGCAATGTCCTTTTTGAAAAACATTTGCTGTAGTTGCATATGAAATTCTGACAGTCATTGAAAACACAAAATCAAACCATTTTCCTAATCTCCCCCAAGATGTGAATCAGGGGATTACAGTATTAAGAAAATATGCAAAAATAAAAACAAATTTAGTGCTCAAACACAAATTGTTTTCCTTATTTTAATGTATCAAGGCGCAAAATTTCCATTAAAAAAAGCCAAACATTGCTATGCAGATAAATAAAACAGATTAACAAATTTTATACTCAAACTCAACCAACATTACACTAAAAATGTGTGTTCGTGTGTGTGTGTGTGTGTGTGTGTGTGTGTGTATGCGTGCACGTGCACGCACAATACCTAATAGAAAAAAAAGGTGCCTTGGTGAAACGACTCTGAAAATATTTACTGATGCACATTATGTACAAAACCTTCTATATAAAAAAAATTAAACTATTTTCAATGAAATTCCACGTTCACATCCTATCTCAAAACTACCTGAAAGATAAATAGGTCTACCTAATATTCTCTCTGAAGTCATGGCTAAGGCAGTTCTCTTTCCAAGGGTTCTCTTTTTTACCCACTCGACATCACTAATAGAAAATAGACAAATACCACACAGATGCAAGTGGACATGCTTATGTGTTATTACCTGGAGCTTGGTTTACTGTTAAAACGAGAGTTTATAAGTGGCTACAAAGAATATTTTTCTTTCTTAAAATATATTGTTTCTCTATTCCAAATTAAGCACTTACTTAAGACATTACGAGGCTGCGAAGCCACTCCATTTGGTGTCAATGTCAATAGCCCTATAAGAAAGAACTCCGTATTGGAATAGCTAGAAAAGTTCTCACTCAACTAGCAGTGCATCCTTCACCTGCATAGAATCAATTTGGCTTAGTAGCTCATTGTCCCAGAACACCAGTCTGGAGTTCAAATATGCTCCTGAAGGTCCATCTCTCAGATATGAAAAACATCTCAAATAAGCAAAATGAGGATATGCATTCCTCATTTGGAGCAGCTGCTAAAAGTTAGGGGAGAAACAAAAATAGAAAAGACCAAAGGCAATGAAGTTGAGTCAGCCAAATTATTTACTCCAGTAACCATTTCAATAAGCCTTTATGCAAACAACTGTAATGATCTGGTAACTCTAGCTCATCATTCTACAAGCACTGAGGACTGGAAGCGTAACAGGTGAAAAACTGAATACCCTTAGAAAAGGGGAACAGTCTGAGGCAAAAGTTGTAGGTCTGTAAATATATAGTTTATATGCACACACAATTGTGCGTATTTTTCTGTATATATTTACATACATATTCACAAGATGCCCTGCAGTATAGTTCAAAAGGCCTTTATCAAGGAACAAACAGATTCTAGTACAGGCCCTAGAGTTCATACCATCTGTATATAAGAAACAAATGTGCATATATTCACATAATGTAAACCTTATCAACAAAAACATTGCTACTAACACTAAGTTAAATAGTAGGTTTCAGACTCATGGTTTCCTACCATATCAATCAGTGATGTAATCAGAACATTTCTTACACTGGGATTCAAAATTAAAAAATACACAACTGGGTTTTAAATTCACAAGAAAAAAAGATGTTCAGTATGACAAACATGAACAAAGTTCAAATTCCAGAGTAGGGAAAATATCAAAACTTTATAAATTTCCTGGGATGCAATTTAATTACTGCATCATTAGAAAAATAGACTCATAGACTAAACAGTGCTACTATGGATTCTATCCACACATTACTCCATATATTTATCTTTTTCCTCTTTTGTTTCCAGCTGGAGGTTTCTTCAACTGAAGGAGTTGTCCTCCTGTTCCAAAACCTGCAGAGGCAGGATTGGACACACCAAATGTCAAACCAGCTGATGCCGTGATGCCGGGATTGCTGAAGTTAAACCCAGATGTGCTTGAGCTGCCAAAGCCTTATTTTTAGAGAAGAAAATATTCACATCAGAAGTTAATTCACAAAAACAAATACAAAAAAACAGGGATGAGTGGTGAATTTCTATCTGAAAGGATACATAAGAATAGCAAATATTTTAAGGCCCTGAATTTCTAACATGGAATTTTATAGGAAAATAATTTAACTAAGTGGCACCTTAAAGACAGAAGTTTAGTGATGCAGGCCAAGAGAAACCTAAACACAAATAAGTAGTCTACAGAAAGCTTGAAGTTGATATAACTTTTCTTGTTAATTCAAGGTACATTTCTCCTCAGCTCCACCAAAAACATTTTACCAATATGCAGAAGAAAGAGTTGCAACATCTGTGTCCTCCCTTGCAACCCCGAGTCCTCCAAGAAAGCCTAAACCCACACTGTTTAGGACAATGAACAAACCAAAGAGCAGTGCTAATTCTGATTTTATAAGAGCCCTTGTCTAAATAGGATCAAGTACTATGACTGCTTAGTTAACTAATACAATATTTAGGTAATAATCCTGATACTGCTGAATTCTATTATCTTATTCTATAAGAACTGCTAATTCTAAACTATAGTTAATATTAAGCAGAATTTCCTTCAAATTCTCTAAATTTAAACACATTTTAAGAGCATTATCTCATTATTTTAGACATTAGACATTATTTTAGTCATTGTGTAAGGTTTAGGCTATTTATCCCTAAACCTTACACATTAAAATAAACCATTATTTACAAATATAGTAAATTAAAAAGTTGACCAAAAATGAGGAATTTCCCACTAGGAGAGTCAAAAAATTATACCTATTTAAAAATGAACAAGGAAACACATTGATCATCATTTGTTAAGACTGTAGTATTCTAAAACCAGAGGGACTTAGAAATGAAAAATCTCTCTTTGGCACTGGTTTAAAAATGAATTAAACTTTCACAACAATGGGTTCATTTTTGCAGTAATGAAGAAAATTGTTTAACCATGAACTGAGTCACTAGGGTTCAAATGAAACTCGACTTAGTTAAGAGAAGATGTATTTACTTATTAAAGTAAGCTAAGAAGTCCTTTTAGAAGTACTATACAAACCTGTCCTTTGGTTTAAAATGGAGATAAAGCTGTATGATCAGTTAGGCTTGCATGCTTCATTCAGACAATAGCAACCAAATAAGGGATATTTTGGAGTTATTGGCAATAACAACACTTATACTTTTAAATTAAATCATTTGCACCTTGAAATTTGCCTGAAATTCAGGCAGAAACACACAAACCTGCACTAAGACTTCCTGAGGGTTTATTTGTTGTTCCAAATCCAAATGTGGAGGCCCCTGTGGTGCTGCATCCAAAACCAGAGCTAGTTCCAAATCCTAGTGGAAGGGTAATAGAGAAATATACAACGGTACATAAAACACAGGTTACAGGATACTAACAAGTCACTGAAAATTACCAAAGGTCTAATAAATACAGTGTTGAAAAAGAAGGCCTTATTAAGGAAATCTGTTAACTCTTTTGCATAAGACTTTTAAAAAAATGTATTTAAAATAATTTTTATCTATTTAGACTAACTTATGACCCAGGAGTAATTTTTAAAAAACAAGGTCATAGGTCATAATATAAAATGCTATCGTATCATACCAGTATATTCTCTCCCAAATGTGCTAGAAACTTTTTTGACCATTCAATGATTTTAGGCAGTTATGAATGTACAGGAATTGTAAAAAGTTCACAGAAAAATAGAATTAAAATATAAATTTATTTGGTACAAAACAATTCTTAAATCTATCCCTAGTTTTCTCAAAATACTCATTTTTCATGAATTTTTGAAGACACCTGATATCTACTTTAGGGGTATTTTGTTTAAAGAAAAAAAAAAAAAGACTGACTAAATACATGAAAAAGCAAGACATGCACAATATTGCAAATACTAAGTAAAACAAGGTAATTTTACTCTGCTCTACAGTAAAATGTTTTTGGTTAATTAAGAATATAATTGAAAAACCCTACATAATAGTCAATCGCTTTAAATCTACTAAGTAGATTCTTGCCATATTACCAGCAATGCAACAGGGGAACCCGAAGGTACCATATTTTTCCTCTTAACAATACTGCTGGGTCTTCAGGAAAGTCGTGATGCATTTTTGCATAGAAAAACAAGCCATGACTTTCCCGACAACCTAACAGTTTCACAATTTAAAAAAAGAAATATCTTATAATCACACAAAGTTCATGAACAGATCCTAAGAATACTAGTTTCTACTCTCATAAAAGCTTAGTACCTATAAACAAAGCTCAAACCCTTTTTATGCTATTTTCTAACAGCTTATCTAAAATACTGAGTTTGACAGTATCACTGTCTATAATTCTAAGAAACAGGTGAATTGGGTTACAGAAATCATGCTGTCTGCCACGAGTCTAGTAATTCCTAATACAGACCAGTCTCTTAATCCTCTTCTGACTGATCTTACTCATTACTATGTACTTGTCAAAATATAACCAACTTTCAATTATCAAAAACTTGTGAATGCATTTGTATTTAGCATGTTTCTGCAGAGGACTTACCTTACTAGAGGTAACTCATGAAATGATTATAATAAGCTTAACTGCTTATGCACACGAGTGATGTACATAGGCAAAATATGCCAACAGTGCTTAGAAATAAATGGACATATGGCAAGTCATTTAACTTATTACAAAATTATTTCCCCATTTAAACTGGTCATTTTCAGAAAAAAGAAGATTATGATTAGGAGAATGTATAGAATCCAGAGGTGGTTTGGACTTCAAACTAGTATTAAGAATACTGATCTAAAAAAATTTTAATTTATTAAAACCAAGTAATTCTTAGGTTCCTATTTCAGCATATTATTTTAAAAATATAAACATCCCTACCACTAAATATTATACTTTTTATATTTACTACCCACAGAAAATAGAATTATCCTTGTATTCTTGAAAAGCAATGATTACGTTTGGAGAATCATTTTTGCCAGATGGAACCTTAACTTCCAAAATAGCAGCAGATCCTCTTAAAAACTTTACAGGCTAGTATCAATTCAAATGTATAATAGGTCAATGAAATATTAGAAAAGTTAAAGTGTACCTCCAAGGTTTGAAGAACCTAAGCCACTTGATTGCAAGCCAGTGCCAATACCTGAGCCGAATGGCGTTCCAAAACTAACTCCCAGAGATGACTGTGGCCCTGGTATAAAAAAATACAAAAACAAAATAAAAAAATGGGGGGGAAAAAAACAAATTTGCCTTACTCTTTCAAGATTAAAGTTTCTTCATAAAATTAGTTTAAAAATGAACAATGATTACGTTTAACAAATCCCATGTTAAAACTTAGTTCTTAGGATGTCTTTCCAGCCTAACTTATCTGTCTGGAAAAAAAAAATTTTAATTAACTTGTTTGGAACTAGACAATTTTAAAAGGCATACCATATTGAAAGATGATTGATAAGTTTTACCTAATTTGAAATCCTTAATGTATCATAAATTATAGTTTAGACTAACTGCTAGAATTTAAAAAATCTCCCTACTTGTTTTCTGACAAAATTAGTTGGTGTAATCAGTAAAGGTTTTCAGGATTTTTTAAAAAATATAAGTTCCTTTAGTGTTAGAATCAAGTCTCAATTTTTTCAAAAGAGACTGACACTAACATAGCAAAACTATCATGTTACTTCATAAGCATCAAAAAACTAGGCATGATTTCTTATATGAAATATAAATGATATATACAATAAATAGATAAAAAACAGGACAATGTTTTATTTTATTAAATTTATTGTTCATTTTAAAGCAAGTCAATTACACAGTAACATGACAATTCCAACTTGTTCACAAAAAGTGATTAACTGAGTTCTAGTTTTAAACTCTGCTACATTACACCACTTGTCACCTGATTAAATAAGATAGATAATGAACAATTTACAAAGGCACCGCTGTGTACCTTGACAGATTCAATACATTCAAGATTTCAATTCAAAAGTTTCTTTCCAACATTTTGGAAAATGTACTCAGATGCAGAACAATTAGTCATCCTTTTCCCATTTAAAGATTCTGGCTGAGTTTGTTTGGCAAGAATAGCATCAAACTTACTAGCCTCTCTTTTTTAACTACTATTTTTTTAAACTAAGCATAATACAAAAATCTAAAAATCTCTCATCTGATAAATAATTTATGAAAATTATTCAATAAATTTCATAGTACAATCTTCAGTCTTGTCTTTTTCAAGCACAGTGATCAGTGCATCTCAAAGTTGAGGGAACTGCCAAAGTAATATACACATTAAAATTTAAATATTCAAAGAAATCAAAGCCTTCAAGTTGTCCAATGCAGAATGAGGTTTGTATATTCAAAAGGTAGTGTAAAATTATAAAGCATTTCAAAAGAAAACTACATTTGGCTACACTGGGACAGAAACTGGACTTTCAAATAGCTTCTACCCAGAAAATAATGAATAACAACTAATAGCAGCCAGCATTCTTACACTATTAAAAAAATAAATTAAAAAAGGATTTAAATTTTTACATCCAGCTTGAGATCAATTTGAGAATAAAATACCTGTCTATTAGTTCTTTTGTAAAATGTTACTATAGGAAAAAGAAATTAAGCATATTACTTTATTTCTAACAAAAATAATATGTAGAAAACACACGTCCAGTTTCTTTAACATTGAGAGACTTAAGTGTCAACATGTTTATAGGAGGCACTGCTGGTGGAAGACCCTAAGAATAATGCACACCACAGCCCTCAGCCTTATAAGTCATAAGTGATTACTCAAACAGCATGCTTTTTGTTGTGTGTGGGTCTGTTTATAAGAGCAATAGAACATAGTTTCTCTAATCTCAATATTCAGGATATAGTTAATCAAAAACTCATTATCTAATGATGACAAGACTTTCCATTGCACAACAGATACATGATATTTTGAGTTTTGTAACCTTCACATAAATTCTGAAGGCAACATCATTTATAAAACTAGTAGGCAAATGTATAACATTTTAAATAGTAAAAACTCATGATAAATATCTCCCATGCCAAAGTATTAGCATATATTACACTCTGGCCACCATATATATTAGTTTCACTATTAGAATGTAGAATCTAAAACCTTCAGGCAAGTAATGTAAACAATTCAAGAAGTCTGCTTTGAAATCTGAATAGTCATTCAATGAGAGGCTCTTAGTTCTGTAAATAAAACTAAGTTAGTAGCAATATATACCAATGATTGCCCAAAGTGAAATCTTCATGTAGAGTAACATTTTACAAAAGTTACCATATAATATATTCACACATAACGAAATCAGGTTTAGCACTGTAATTCATATTTTCCAGAATAAATTCTGTTTTCTTAAAGGTAAAACTGTATTCACAGAAAAAAAAGACTAAAGTGCTAAAATTTATAGTTTCTATGACCACTGAAAATGCCAAGTGTAATTAGTATGGTTATTCCTAAGTCATATTTTAAAGTAGTAATTTACTTAAAAAAAAAAAAAAAAAAAAACCTTTTCCCCACTTTGGAATTTTTACTCATAGTAATTAACGGGGAATGTTCCTTTGGTTATTAAATACAACAAAGTCACAAAACCACAAGAAACTAAGATGAAGTTCTTGAAAGTTTGCTATTTAACACTATACTTTAAATGTCCAAACCTATACTAAAAGCTAGCAAGTAGGAATTCCTAACAAAACGTCTCACTCCTTAAAAACAGCAGCTAAATTACATAGGAGAAAAGTCTTACTATGTAAACATCAAAGTTTTAAGTGTCAAAACACAACAGCAAAACTCAATCCAGTACATTACTTAAAAAAAAAAAAAATTCCTAAATTAAAATTATACTGAAAATGTGCCTATTGTAAATGGTGAGGTCCAGGAGGCTGGGAAGCACCGTGGACACGTATACTCGCGATCTGCCAACATGTAATACTTTACCAATGGACTGGTGCTCAGTTCATACATAATCAACCTGCTGGTTCCCATCGCTTCTCTTCAGGCCTCAATAAATAATCGTAACTCACCCATGCTCAAGCCCCATTATAGACTTTTCTAACTAAAAAGAATGAAAGAATCAGGATATCGTTTGTAAGTTCATTCCTTTACCTCCACCACAAAAGACAATGACAAAGAAACACCTCCAAAAGGCAGCAATATATGAAGCTATCTGCTGAATGGCCCATATTTACATTAATGAAGTAAGGAATCTATATGCAAGTAAAAGCAAAACCCCTCTGGTAATCTGAATCTTGTACGGATAAATAGTGATGTATAAAAACAGTGCACAAACACTATCTAGGTTCACCTACATGGTCTAAAAATTGTTAGTGGCACTTACAAAAAATTCTATTAAGTCACAGGAGGAATAAGTCACTGGACACATAACTGCAGTAAATAGGAACATTTCTAAATGGGCTGTAACTTATAAAATCATTGCAAATGTATGTAACAGTGCTCATAAATCTTGCAAGCATGGTGGTGTCACTAAAATAATAAACATTTTAACTGAGATGGCATAAAAGAATGGTCTAGAGAGCCTGGGAAACCTTTAGGGGAAAAAGGAAGACATAACGCACAATTATTACCACTATTGTTTAGCTTCTCAATTCTTTCTTATACTACTCAAAGTAAAAACAGTGTAAGATAGTTTAGCTTGCTATATTTCTAATCCTGCCACCTGATTAGAAAGCTCTTATGTGAACTTCAAAAGTGCAGGGAATACTGTAAGAAGTCAACTTCTCCAAAGCCTGGTAAAAGTTGTAGACAAAATTAAAATATATGAGCAAAAGGCTCCTCAACAATTACTACAAGTTAAACTAATATCTTCTACCACCAGACAGCAAAGACAATATCTGTATCGTCTACCTATTGTATCCCCAAAGTCCGCTGCCTAGGAGGCACCCTTATTTCGAGAATGATCATGTTTTCATATGTCCATTAGCCAAAATGTATGAGTGAATACCTTCAGCCTTCTTGATATAAGACTGTCTAGGTAAATTTAAAACAACAACAAAAACTTTGTAAGTGGTCAAGTTTAGTTATTTACCATAGACGATAACACTTCTAGCATAACACATTAGATAACTGACTTTTCTCAAGTTTTATTAGAACAGGAATCCACTATATTTTAAGAATACTTCACCAAACCTACACTTATCTGATCTACTTTAGAATTAATATTGGCTCTAAAAAAATAAACTAACTACGTTTGGTTTGATTAGCTGGTTAAATAATCATGAAAACTGATAGTCACAGTTAAGGAATCTAACCCATAATGACTTTTTCACTCTGTAACTTGAGAATGCAATTCTATCCTCCAGCCAGCTAGAGAGCTACTAGATAGTGCTTATGTGAGTTATTATTCACATGGATCCAGCCATGGACTATCCAGGATTTGGCATAAATCCATCATCAAGCCTTTACGGATGGCAAGTCTTTTCTGTCATCTCCAAATATGAAGAACAAATTTTTAAGCTGCCAATAGTGAAAACCAGAGAACGCTTCCCTGGTACAGGCAGCCTGAATGCCATCTAAATATATGTTTTTTTCTTTATTTTTGTATTATGATTTACTACTAGACTATATGGAAACTCTTCAGAAAGATACATGCTACATCACTCGAAAATTTATGAGTGATTAAAGAAAAAAGTTGGTATCTATTAAGACTATATTTTTTTCTATGTCAAACTTCAAGCCTGACAAAAGGGACTGCAAGAATAAAATGAGTAATCATGTCCAAAACTGGACCAAATGAAAACTTTAGAACCAGACCACAAAAATGCTTCTCTGATTCAAAAGAATTAAACCAAGGAATAAAATGATCTGCTTTCTAGTATCTCACCAATTATTTTAAACTAATGAACTTCCCAGTCCTACTTACTGTTCACTATACACCTCAAACATCTTTTCCCTGCTCTTTCTACTGCTCTGTTCCTTTTGGAAAGACACAATAATTACAGCATGTATCTTCTTCAAAATTTGATTTAGAGGGCCTGCATACTGACTCCAGATAATATACACACAAATGAACCTACTGATCTTCAATATATTTTCATTCAATAAAAACATACTTCATCCTGGATGTGGGTACTTTATCATCACTATATATGAAGAAAATAAGAATGCACCATCTATCAGTAGTTTGTATTAAAAAATGCAACATACTTTTTGATTATCTCTGACTTTAAACAATAAATGATACAATCATGATTTCAGAATCTAATGTTATTCTTAAATGTAATTCAGTAGTGAAACACCATGTTCTAAAGGGCATTTATAGCAATACAGCAAATAACATTAAGTAAATTCACAATATTCAGTATCTAATTGATGTATAATTATTGCTAAGACTACCCTGCATTTTTTTATCAGGTATGTTTATTATTGTGTCCATCACAATATTTAGATTGTATTGGAATAGCTGTTCATAGAAATTTCTTCAGTGCTCACATAAAAGGAAGACTTAAAAAAAACACACATAAATGTTCTGCATTTGAACCTTACTGTAAGAAGCTATAACTTGAATGCATTCAGACCTGTAGCAGGCTGTTGCTGCTGCGTAAGTGTTGCAGCCATGGCAACGGCTGCTGCGTTTGGCATGGTGCTGAAAGGGGTGGGTCCAGTAGTAACTCTGGGTGCATTCTGCCACTTCTTGGCTTCTGTTCGCCTCGCTTCAAACACATCTACAGCATCTCCCAAGAACATTTTCCTGTAGCCAAGGTACTGTTCTTTGAGCACCTAAGGGTATAAGTAAAAGAAAAAGCTAATCAAGTTCCTTTGAATTGACTGTGAATTTGATGATATGTGAATGCATGTATCTATAAAATAAGCTACCAAAGACCCTTTGGTTAATATTATATGTTCCACCTGAATTGTAAATTGCCACAAACAACCCAAGTCAGTGTGAGAAGTGTTGAGTTTGAGAGTTCATCACTCCTTTGCATATTTTATTTTCTATTTTTGTCATATATCTTTATAATATGCTGCCTAAAATATTTTGGCTGTGTGAAGCCCTGTTAGAAATAAGTCAGCTGGGATCAGCAGATGGTATAATGGTTATGTCACTGGACTCCCACGTAATCAAGTTTGGAGAGATTTTCGCTATAGGGCGCGTGCGACAGACAGAGACAAACAGAGACAGAAAGCAAGAAATCATCCCCTGGGGGTATGGTCATGCCGCAATCCCTTCTCCTCCATTCTCCTCTCGGGATCTTGGGCACGCATGCTCACGTGCCCGGCATGAGTTTTAAGCTGCTGGGTCTGGGAGGCGAACTGCAGTCGACTAGGTGGGAGTCCAGCGACATAGCCATTACGCTAACTGATGGTTCCCTCAACTGCAGTTTGAGTGCTGGATCCAGTGGCTTAAAACTCAGGCTGGGCACATGTACATGCGTGCCCAAAATCCTAAGAGGAGACTGTGGCATGACCATTATCCTTTGGGGGGGTGATTTCTCACTTTCTCTCTCTGTCTCTCCGGCAAGCACACAAACCCATAGCTAAAATCTCTTAAAAAAAAAAAAAAAAAAAAAAGACAGCTAAGCTTTTAGACTGATATTAATAAATACATATTCCAATTTTTCATGAATTTTTTCCCTCAAATATGCAACCTCATGGACTTTTGATAAAGAAACAGTATCAAATATTTATTTTATCATTTTTTTAAAGGTTTTTGCCATAGGGCACATGCACTTACCAGAAAGAGACAGAGTTAGGGGAAGTGAGAAATCATCCCCCAGGGGAGATGGTCACACTGCAATCCCTTCTCCAGTCTTCTCTCGGGACTCTGGGTACACACACTTGGAGTGATTTTCAAGCCACTGAGTCCAGAAATTGAGCCATAGCTGGCCACACGGGAGTCGAGCACCTTAACCACTATACCACTCCTAAACACATATTTATTAAATAGAGGATTTTTTATTTTTTCCCTAAGGTTTTATAACATAGGACATGTGCACTCCCAGAGTGAGACAGAGAGAAGGAAAGTGAGAAATTACCAAGCCTTGGCCTGGGGGGCAGCATGCCAAGTCCCTTCTCCTCCTTCTCCTCTCAGGATTTTGGTCATGAATGCACATGTGCCTGGCATGATTTTCAAGCTGCTGGGTGCAGGACTAGAACTGTAGTTGACCATGTGAGACTCCAACATCTTCACGACCCGGCACCTGCTAGCCCCTTAAATACATTTTTTTTAATGGTCTAAGTGACACATGGTTAAAATAAGATGTCACAAGGCCAGCAGGTGGCATGGTCATTAGGGCCCTGGATTTCTACATGGCTGACTGCAGTTCAAGTCCCAGACTTGGTAGCTTTCTCATTTTCACTTTCTTTCTATCTCTGGTGGGTGCATGTGTACTGTAGCAAAGTAAAAGAAATAATATTGTAAATAAGATTAAATAATTTTCTTTTAAAAAAAGATGGGACCAGCAGATGGCATAATGGTTACATCTCTGGACTCCCAAATGGCCGACCATGGTTCAAGTCCCAGACCCATGGCTTGAAACTCACACTGGGTGCATGTGTGTGCATGCCCAATATCCCCGGAAGAGAATGGAGAAGGGGTTGAAGCATGGCCATCACCCCTGAGGGGGGATGTTTCACCTTCAGTCTCTCTGTCTCTGGCAAGTGCACATGTTCTCTGGCAAATGCACAAAATGCACAAGCTCTCTAGCAAGAATCTCTCTTAAAAAAAAAAAAAAAAAAGGCATACTTCAGTTGAGAATGTTTTGAGAGTATCATATTTCTGTTTATATTATCTGCCACTGCACAACGAGAATAATTCATACCAAGCTTGTATGTCCAAACTAAAGAAAAAATAGTTTACAACTGCAGAATAAGAAAAATTACTAAGTTTATAAAGTAGGCTGGTTTACCCAATGCAGTATCTGCCTTGCTTAAGGTCATTACTAAAAATTTGTCACATTAGAATGATTAAATACTTGTATTAAAGATTAAGCCTAATTTAGATCAATTTTATATCTTTTTATTTTTGGAGAGGTTTTTGCTATAGGGTACGTGCGCTCGTCAGAAAGACAGAGACAGACAGAGAGATAGAAAGCGAGAAATTACCCTCTGGGGGGGGATGGCCACGCTGTAACCCCTTCTCTTCTATTCTCCTCTCAGGATCTTGGGCACGCACCTGGCATGAGTTTAAGCCACGAGGTCTGGGACTCGAACCACTATCGACTACATGGGAGTCCAGCAACATAGCCGTTACGCTAACTGCTGGTCCCAATTTTATATCTTTTAAAGAGATGCCTATTTTTCATATTTCTTACCCTTTTTTTTTTAGCCGAAATCAATAAATTAGGCTTTTGTTTATAACAAGTACAACACTTAGAAACCTTATTGTTATTCAGAGTACGTAAAAGCTATCATTGTCATTTTACATGGAAGTTCAGTATTTGATGACCCAGTTCCAAGCTTTGTTTCTTTCATCATGGACTAATGTGGGCCTGACAAGAACCTAATTATCAAGGGAAATGTGGAATCAAAAGCTGGGCATGTAATATACGAACAAACCTAATCACTGATCTTCCCTAAATCCAGCCTTCCTTTTCCTGTGCAATTCTATGCATATACTCATACAAGGCTTGGTTGGCATCATTATTCCACAAGTTTTAGTTCATAATAATGACCTGTCTTAGAGACCTGAAAAAGACAAGTTATTAAAAAAACAAACCAAAGCAAAATAAAACATTTGACATCAGCCATGATTTATATAATTGTAAAGGTTCCAGAATTATTAACAGCACCGAGGTTGGGCCAAGTAAGGTAGTTTAAACCTGTTTCAACACAGTATCTCACAAAAGAAAATCAAAAGGAAGAATAACAACAAAAAAATACCTTGTGAGATGTGTATAAGAAATGAACAAATCTAGAACATCTAGTTAGTTTGGTTACTAAACTAAGCTGAAAATAAATGGCAAAATACCAAATCTGATCTTTGAGCATCTTTTGGTTCTTGGTAACATATTTTGCAAAAAGAAAAAAAAAAGGAACTAGGTCAAAATTTCATGTTAAGTTTATTCAACATGATCTGGGGTTATTCTATGTGAATGTCAGTCTTCTTTTTTTATGGTCATGTTATCTAACAGGGTACATTTTTAAACAGGGGAAGAGAATGTACAATTTAAAAAAATGCATATTTACACCTGGGATTTTCTTTAAAATATTGGGTCATCATGATGTATTTTTTTGTTTTTCTATGCAAAAATGTGTCATGACTTTTCCAACGACCCTATACTTCAGGAAAAAAAAAATTACAACAGTCCTTGTGTGAAAATTGATTGAATAAGCTCAGCTGGAACTTGATAATGGTTGAAGTTAGGTGGTGGTATTCATTATAATGGCATTCTACTTTATGTATTAATATATTAGAAACTTTTTAATAAAAAAAAAATTATATCTGTATGATACAGACTTCAAAGTGCCACCTCCAGTAATTTAAAAAACTAAAGTAACACTTACCATAGGCTGATAAAATGAAACAAAGTCTGATAAAAATTTCTCCTTTAAAATAATTTTAAGGGCTAACAGGTGGCCTAGTGGTTAAAGGTGCTGGGCATGGTCAACTGTAGTTTAAGTCCTGGACTTGGCCATTTGTTTTCTCTCTCCTCCTCTCTCTCTCTCTCTCCCTCGGCTCTCCCGCTCTCTTGCGCTCTTTCTCTCACTCTCTGGTCAGTACATGTGCCCTGTGGCAAATTTAAAAAGAACAACGATGATAAATAAAATTAAATAATTATTTGAAAAATAAAATAATCTTAAAGATTGGGTTTAGGGTTTTAGATCTATTACAGCAAAAGGCCTAGAAGAGTGCTATCATTTAAAAAATGGTATAACTTAAATGACTGGGACCAGCAGTTAGCGTAATGGCTATGTCACTGGACTCCCACGTAGTCGACCGCGGTTCGCATCCCGGACCTGGTGGTTTAAAACTCACGCTGGGCGCATGTGCGTGCGTGCCCAAGATCCCAAGAGGAGAATGGAAGAGAAGGGATTGTGGCGTGGCCATCCCCCCTGGGGGGTGACTTCTTGCTTTCTGTCTCTCTGTGTCTCTGTCTGTCTGGCGAGTGCACGCGCCCTATGGCAATAAAACCTCTCCAAAAAAAAACTTAAATGACAAACTTTTTAAAAAAATTGTCACCGTGCATCAGATTAGAATAAAAATAAAATATTGATAATCTCTAGTAAACTCCATTCTTTTCCATTAATTATTTATTTAGACTCAAGTTTGACTGCTTCTGAAAAGCTTTCTGGACCATATAACTATACGATTGAGTTTAATTAGATTTGCCTAATGATTAGTTAGAAAAAGTATACTAGTATTTAACACGTTGTTTAAATAGATTTTTAGAACTAACATATTACACAAGGGTCAAAATATTCGGTGATTAATTATTATATTAACATTATTTTTAAAACGCAAACAGTTCCCTGTATTTAGAAAGGAGAGATGTTATAAGCAATTTTTTAAATGCAGTGACCAATAAACACTTAAAAAAACCATAAAATTAGAGCAGCTCAAATGATTCTGGATGAAGAATGTTTATTTTCTCTAGGGTATATACAGTGGTAAAGAAATGGAAACAACTGAGGATCAGCCAGCAGATGGCACAGTGGTTAAGGTGCTGAACTCCCACATGGCCAACCATTGTTGGAGTCCTGGACTTGGTGGTTTGAAACTAATTCTGGGCATGTGTGAGTGTGTGCCCAAAATTCTGAGAGGAGAACGGAGGAGGAATTGTGGTACAGCCATCTCCCCTGGAGGGTGATTTTTCACTTTTTGTTTGTCTCTAGAGTGAGCACACATACCCTATAGCAAAATCTTTTTAAAAAATGAAAGAAATGGAAACCTAAGAGTCCAACAACAGATAATAGTTTACATCAACTGAAAAAACATACAATGAATTCCTACATAACTACTAAAAATAATGTTGAGGAAATATGTATTAACACTAAAAGCTTATTTATAATATACTACTGAAAAAACATAAAACAAAAGACTGCACAAGGCATTTAGATCTTTTTAAAAAGAATAGATGCTATTAGTGGCTGTTTCTGAGTATGATTATGGTTTATAGTAGTTCATCTTTTCACTTATAAGTAATTTTAGCTCTTTCTGAAAAATGCATAAATACATTTGTCCTCAAATGACCAAATATACAGGTCTAAATTTTCAGACAGTTGTATTGCCAATAAAAACTTACCTTTACATTTTCATGAATAGACTGAAGTTGTGCAGCTAAAGCTACAAATGTTTGATAAATTTTCTGCATAGCCATCGACAAATCTATAAAAGAAAATATTATCACACACATACATAAATACACATATCTATATAACACGATCAACTTTATTATTATTTGAGTACAATTTTTGGTATAGTTAATGTGTATGAGACAAAACTCAATAATGTTCTTATAGCTAGAGAAGACAGCAAACTCAGGCTGAGAGAAGGACATCCACGTCAGTAATCTGGAGAGGAAGGAGACGGCCTTAAAATTTCTGCCCTTGTTTTCAAAGCAGCAGTTCATAATAAAACATTTTGTTTTATTTATTTATTTATTTATTTAAAAATCTTGCCAAAGTGCACATGTGCTTACTGGGGAGAGAGACAAAGGGGGAGACTGAGGGAGAGAGCATCCCTTCTGTGGGTCATGGTCACACTATAATCCCTTTTCCTCCATTTCTCCTTCCTTTTGGGATTTGGCACACACCCCTGGTGTGTTTCCTAAGCAGTCAGGTCCAGAACTCAAACTACAGAACTGGGCATTTTTAAAAAGCATCGATGTTATTAATGTTTGTTTCTGGGTGTGATTATGTGGGATGTACTCATTTTAACCACCATGCCATAGGCTGGTCTAATAAAGCACTTTATATTTATAGGGAATGAAGATCTAATCAAAAACTTCTTAGACAATTAAAAAAAATTGCCAGAAGGTCACAAAAACAGGCACAAAGACCAATGGAATAGAATAGAAACCCCCGAAATAAATACTAAAACATACAGCTAACTGATTTTTGACAAAAGGCACCAGACAATTCAGTCAGAAAAAAATATCTTTTTAGCAAACAGTGCTGGAAAAATTGGGTATTCACCTATGGAAAAACGAAACTGGACCACCATTAACTCAACTCGAAATAGATAAAAGATTTAAACATAAGACTTCAAACTATAAAACTACTGGTGGAGAACACGGGAAAACTCTTGTCTTGG